CAATTAATCCAGTGCAATTCTAGCATTTTAAAATGCTACTCCAATTATGAAAATTCCAAATGGATTCAAATAAACCCCAAGCTTATGGTGGCAGTGCACCACTGCCCCTAGTATTTGTATTCACCAGTGGCAGATTTTTGCAAAAGATAATTAGTGCAAAAGAAAATGCAAAACGCTACTGTTAAATGAAAACAGAAAAGTTTTAAAAGAAAACGAAAAGAGGAAAGGAAGCCCCTGCCTCCCTGGGCCTTGGCCCATCCGGACTAGCCGGCCCAACCTAGACGGCCCACCTCCCTGGTCGCTCTCCCCTCCCCTTGTTCAACCGACCGAGGGCGCGCGCCCGCGCGTCGCCGTTGGACCACCTCGCCGCTGATGAGGAGGATAAGGCCGCCAGCGCCCCGACGCCTCGGGCCTCCTCCCCCACCTACCTCCATCCACTTGCCCGCTCCCTGCCTCACTCGCTCGCCTCTCCCTCTCCTCTCGTCCCGATCTGGACCTCCCGCACGCCGTCATCGCCACTGTCTACCACCACCACGGCCACCGCCCATCCCGCGCCTCGCCAGCACGTCCACGAGATGCGTCGTCGACCTCTACCTCGACTACGCCTCGCCATCGAGCTTGGGAACGACCGCACGATCGGGATTGAGCTCGTCCCCATCTTCTCTGTCGCCGGTGACCGCCATCGTCTCCAGCCACCTCTGCGCTCCTAGCTGTCGCAAGCTTTTCGTAGCCCCTCGATGAGCTCCTCCCTCCCTCCATTCTTCTCCTCACACCGCGTGGTTCTCCCTAGCTAGCTCATTGTTGTTGCCGTGAGCTCGGTGCCGCAGATCACCTCACCGTCGTGGCCGCCGTGGCCCGAGCTCGCGTCCGAGCTCGTAGCCGAGCTCCTGGGGCTCGTAGGAGCCCAACTATGCTCTTTGCATCGCTTGTCGTGCCCCACATCGCCGTAGCCACCAACGCCCGATTCCGGCGTCCGCCGCCGATGACCTAGCGCTCGAATCCATCTGTTTTAGCTCGCACTAAGGCCACATATCGACGCGGGACGTTGTTCCCGTTCGAACGCGACCAACCGCCGTCGATTTGGTCGCCGGACGACGAAACCCGAGCCCCTGCCGCACGCGCCGCCGCATTTTGGGGCGCCGAAGCTGTCTCCGGCACCGTCGCCGACGTGGCCTGGCAGGTGGGCCATCTGTGCCACTGACGTTGGGCCCCACGGGTCCCCGTTTACTGGTTTGACCAGTCAACATGCTGACTGGGCACTCTGACCCACTGACATGCGGGCCCCGCTAGCTTAAAATTTTTAAAAATAAATAAATCTGCTAATTAAAATCTATGAATTAATTAGTAATTAGTTAGTCACTGACACCCGGGGCCCACCCCTCTAATTAGACTGATTAGATTAGTTTAATCCACTATGAAGCTTACAGTGGATGACATGTGGGCGCCACTTGTCTGGTTTGACTGGTCAGCCGACCGATTGACCTGCTGACGTCAGCATTGCATCATGCTGACGTCATATTCCTTTTTTTGTTAATATGAATAATTCTAGAATATGGTTTAATCTTTGAAAAATCATAGAATTTAAATCGTAACTCCGATCAAAATGTTTTCTATATGAAAGTTGCTCAGAAAAATCCAACGAATCCGGATACGCAGTCTGTTTACCTGTCAGATGCCTCTAACTATCTGAACATGGAACATCCCCGCTCTGGTCATTTGTCTGACATAGGTCCGGAACCGGGAATACCTTCTCGGTTGGATTCCCCTTTCACCTTTATCGTGCAGCCATACGTTAGGTCACACCCGACACAGCATATTGCCACGTTATGCTTTGTGATGCTATGTTTGCTTTATATTTACTGTTTCTTCCCCCTCTTCTCTTCGGTAGACCCCGAGACCGATGTTGCCCCTGTGACTGACTACGTCGACGACGACCCCTCCTTGCCAGAGCAACCAGGCAAGCCCTCCCTTTGATCATCCCGATATCACCCATTCCTTTCTCTCATGCTTGCATTAGATTTTGCTATTGTTATTGTTTGCTCCTATTCTGATGCATAGCCTGCTTTTGTAACCTGCTTATTGTTACCTTACCCGCTTATCCTAAACTGCTTAGTATAGGTTGGTTAGTGATCCATTAGTGACCCCCACCTTGTCCTTGTTGCCCCTGCTTCATCATCAAAGACCCTTTTAACGGGATCGAAGACCAGGCCCCGGCACCGCACATCACTTTCCCCTTAGTTGCTCGAGAATGCTGGGTTACTATCGAGTGCCGAGGGTGAGACCTCTACAGCACTTCTGATGTTAACCCTGTAGTGTAGCTATTCGGTCGTGGTCATCGAGGGTGATTCCACCTTAACCACTTCCGATACGACTCTGTCGTGCAACCCCTCAAGTGTGAACCTCGGGGTGATTCCTCTTACGTTCACCTTGATGATTACATCGAGTGGAATTCACCGGGGGTGATTCCTCGAGTTTTCCCCTTGATGTTTGGACACACGGTTATTATGGTTACTATGACTTTACACTGAACTATGTTACTAAAGACGGGTCGACCCTGAGGGGTACCCGCGCGAGCATAATTGCGAGTGATGTGGAGTCGGGTTGACCTGGAAGGTGCCCGTGAGATAATTACGAGGCGTGGCCGGGCATTCTTAGCCCTTGCCGCAAGTCTTCGAGACGGGGCAACGGGGTCACATCTTTCGTGAGTCTCTGCTTGTTATCGCGCGTTCCTAATCCACTACGATTTGGATATTTGATCCGAGGGGCCTCTGGCCTGATAGCACTAACCATCACGTGGGCATAGTATGGGTGTTCTGTGTCGTATGCATCAGCCAAAGCTTAATAGACGCCAGCAACTGAGCGGGGCGTGCCGGGTTGGACTAGTTACGCCTTCCCTTGTATGGAGGCTAGGTCTGCTCACCGGCCGCGTACGCAACGTGCAGGAGTTTCCGGGGAGATGGCCCATGACCCCTGGGGGCATAGGTTTAGTCCGGCGTGCTGACCTCTCTTTTAAGCCTAGGTCGGGTTGCGGCGTATTGTTTGGCCGAGGCCGGGCATGACCCAGGAAAGTGTGTCCGGCCGGAGTTAATCAAGCGTGGTGGGTAAGTTGATGCACCCCTGCAGGAAAAAAAAATCTATCGATAGCCTGTCCTGCGGTAACGGACACTCGGAGTTGTATCCCGATCGATACAACTAGAATTGGATACTTGTGATGAGAATTGGATGTTGATGAGAATTGGATTGTGACGACAAATGGATAGTATGGCTCTGGGATTGCTTTCTCGCAGGGAGTCGAGAAAGGATCTCTGGCCGAGGTTGATAACACTACTAGTACTTTACTTTATGCTACTCTACTCCCTCCTGTTTGCTGCAAGGTGGTGGTTTCCGGAAGATGCTAGTCTTCGATAGGACTAGGCCTTCTCTCTATTCTGGCATTTCTGCAGCCCAGTCCACATATACAGCCTTCCTTTGATAATGTTACATGTGTAGTGTAGATCTTTGCTTGCGAGTACTTTGGATGAGTACTCACGGTTGCTTTGCTCCCCCTTTTCCCCCTTTCTTTTCTTTCCGGTTGATGCAACCAGATGACGGAGTCCAGGATCCAGATGCCACAGCCGGTGCCTACTACTACGTGGAGACCGCTGACGACCAGGAGTAGTTAGGAGGCTCCCAGGCAGGAGGCCTTGCCTTTTCGATCGATGTTGCTTTTGTGCTAGCCTTCTTAAGTCAAACTTGTCTAACTTATATCTGTACTCAGATATTGTTGCTTCCGCTGACTCTTTTGTATTCAAGCTTATGTATTCGAACCCTCGAGGCCCCTGGCTTGTAATATAAAGCTTGTATTATTTTAAATTGTGTCTAGAGTTGTGTTGTGATATCTTCCCGTGAGTCCTTGATCTTGATCGTACACATTTGCGTGTATGATTAATGTACGATTGAATCGAGGGCGTCATACATGTGCACCAGTTGTCTCCATTAGAGGGTTTTTTTCTTGCGGGAGAGCCGCCCGCACGTGTTTAACTTTTTGAATTCGGTTTTTAAAAATGAAATGTCTCGAACCTCGCATCCAAATTGCGAATCATTTTCACCGTTGTCTTCTTCCCCAGCAAGATGTTAGGAACTAGATTCCCATCTTGATAAGTTTAGATGGGATTTTTCGCCCCCACCCTAGATTTGTGTTGTGGGTTGTGGCTGGCAAATTAGGGCCATGCAATGCACAATGACAGACTCATACATCTCTGGTCTCTTTCTAGCTCGGTCAGTTAATCTTGAGCAAATGTCTGTCCTCACTGGCCTCAGCAGCCAATCTTAAACCAGATGAAACATGGCAAGGCCAACGACATCTGGTCCGTCGGTGAGCACTTGATTTCGTAAGTTACTATCTACTCCCTCCGTTCCTAAATATTTGTCTTTCTAGACATTTTAAATGGACACAACATATGGATGTATGTAGACATATTTTGAAGTGTAGATTCACTCATTTTGCTTCGTATGTAGTCACTTGTTGAAATCTCTAGAAAGACAAATATTTAGGAACGGAGGGAGTATATCTAAAACAGGCAACAAAGATGTACGTACGCGTAACAAACAAAGCCAAAATGACCTCAGGCAACTGTGCAAAAAAGACTGGAATGAATCATCATCTCCTGAAGCAAACAAAACTTGGCAGGAATTGCTGCAAGGTGTGTACTGAATAGCAAAACCACCAGGATCAACTCCAGAGTCATTGCAGTATGTAGGCCCTATGTTCTATGTATGAATGGCATATTAATCAATCATGCTAGCTGTCAACATAATGGATTTACACCAACAGAAATCACACTCATATACACTGAAAAAACTATATATATGCGGCTCAGCACATGCGTGTTTTCGACGGAAAAGCAGCTACAGAAACTAGAAACATGTATGTATATATGTGCACATCATCATGCCCCCAGATTGCTTAACCAGACAGAGCAAATTATCAATCACAAGCAACATACTCAATACACAAATTATTAGTGGCAGGAAGGAATGCAGCAAACTTGGCAGAGGCAAGTCCAAACATCGCTTGTTATTATTAATACATAATAAAGCCAAAGTGCTGTAACAGAAACCGTTTTAGCAAAACAAAAAAACAAGCATGAGTTACTACAATCCTCAGCTTTGTGATCCATAGCCACATCAAGATCTGGTACCTTTCCCTTGGAGCAACAACCCGCTTCCATGAAGATCATCAATCAATCACGGGACAGCTGAGCCTTCGGCTTCTTCGGCACGGTCCGATACCCAGCCTTGGTGGGCTTCCCCCAGGGCGACACCGAGGGCCTGCCACCCTTGGTGCGCCCCTCGCCTCCTCCATGGGGATGGTCCACCGGGTTCATGGCGACACCACGGACAGTCGGGCGCCTGCCCAGCCACCGGCTGTGCCCCGCCTTCCTCAGCTTCCGCGCGCCATGGGTGGGGTTGGAGACGATACCGATGGTGGCACGGCACCGGGAGTCGATCACCTTCTCGACGCCCGACGGCAGCCGCACAAGGCACTGCGTGGCCGACTCCTTGACCACCTTGGCGTAGGCTCCGGCGGCTCGCACGAGCTTTGCCCCTTGGCCGTGACGCAGCTCGATGCTGTGCACCCATGTGCCCATGCGGATGTCGGACAACGGCATGCAGTTTCCCACCTTGGAATTGAGGTCCAGTAGGTCGGCAGGCATGAGCGGCGCTGCTGTGGTGACCGCCGCATCCTTTGCTGCTTGATCATCAGCGCCCTCCTCTTCGCCTTCTTGGCTGGCCTTGCGGAACAGCTCTTGGAACCGAAGGAAGGAATCGGCGTTGTGGGCAGGCCGCATCAAGGAGCCGGTCGTGGAGGGTTTGGAGGAGTCGCTGTTCACCACCATGCTGCCCGGCTCCATTTGGTGGCTGGCTATTATGTAATTGACAGGCGCACGCTCGGCCTTGTATGCTGCATCCTTCTGAGGCACCCCTTCAATCCATCGCAGAAGAGCGATCCGAGAAGAACGATTAGGGTCATACTCAATCCTTTCCACAACGCCAACCGAGCAAGTGTTCCTTTTGAGGTCAACGTCCCTAAGCGATTGTTTGGATCCACCCCCTCGGTGAAAAGAAGTGATCCGCCCGGAAGAGTTCCTCCCGGCGGTGACGGTCTTGCCGGTCAAGGCCTTGGCCAAGGTCTTGAACTTCTGCATCTGCAGATAAGAACCACCAAAGAGATGGTAAGCTTCAAGGACTAGAGATAAAACAGCATGTATTAGCAGCAAGTAGACAAGCCTCCATACATCAAGCCCTAAATGATGAATGAACTGATCAGAAAGAATCAACAGAAAATAGCGACATACATTTCTATCGATCTTAAGGCCACAAGTGACGAACACCTAGGTTTAGTGATTAAAAAGAAACATCGTGATCATGTTATTCCATCTGATCCAGAGCAAAAGATGAAGCAGCTTGTGTTTCATAGGAGAAGTCCCAAACTTGTAGTACGTTTCTTATCCAGCAACATTCAGTTTGACAGCAAAACTCACAAGAGAGAGAAGTTCCAAACTTGTATGTTTCTTATTCAGCAACATTCAGATAATCAGATTGGCAGTAAAATTCACAAGATCGGTTCCAGACTTTATTTTTTTCTTATTCAACAGCATTCAGATTGGCAGGAAGAGACACACTAGTGGTACAATACAGTTGCCCAATTCACTAGACAAAACAAAGTTTAGCTCTCTCCAAATCTGAGTCCAGAGAACTTATCTCAATTCAGTCTCAACACGGAAGCTGAGGTACAGCTAAGAACTAAGCAGATCTACAGGAACTGGGTATCGACTGAAGTAAGACTTGGAAGAAAAGAAATCCATTTTACAGGCGGAGTTCGGCCTGGGCAGCATCGATTCAAGCACAATGGGTTTGGTGAGCGATCAATAGATCCAGCGGGTTTCTCCTGAGAAACAAAATTATTCGAGCGGCGCTACACTCTGTTTGTCGTGTGAGGTAAGCAGCAAAACCAAACCCGCGCATCTGGTACACATCCGGCAGCGCGCGTAAGCATTTATTAGCAGCAAGTGGATAAGCTTCCATGCATCTAAAGGATGAACGAACTAACCATGAAGAATCAACAGAAAGTAGTGGCAAATATTTCTATCGATCTTAAGACCACAGGTGACAAACACCTAGCTTTACTGATGAAAAAGAAACATGGAGATCAAGTCATTCCATCTGATCTAGAGCAAAAAATCAAGCAGCTTAGGTTTGAACCCAAAGCAGGACACGAGCTAGTACTAAATTCGATTATGGCCCAAACCACTCAGATTGGCGGCGAAATTCATAAGAGAAGTTCCAAACATTTATGTTTCTTAGTCAGCAACATTCAGATTGGCAGGAAGAGAAACACTAGAATAATAATTGCCCGGTTCACTAGACAAAACATTTAACTCCCCTGAATCAGAGCCCAGAGAACTCACCATAATTCAGTCTCAACACAGAAGCTCAAGTACAGTTAAGAACTAGGCAGAAGTACAGAAATTGGATATATTGGGTGAAGTATACATATTGCAGTGTTTGTATCTTTCTCCAGCCTGACTGCCCGGGCGTCTCTACAATCTACTTCCTCCTACCCTGCTTTTCCCTTTTGTTATACTAGAAGAAAAAGCTGTACTATTTTGTACTGTACTCGGATGGATAAACCTGAAATAAATCATGCATCAGGTCTTGGCCCCGTCCCAAAATCTGCAGGCGACCAGAGAATGGGAGCGGGGCCACGTCGCGGAGGGGCTGGAGGGCGTCCGGAGAGCGAGCGCCAGAACAGGGAATCGGTGTCGGGGGCGCGGAAGGATCCACGAGCGAGCGAGCGAGCGCCCTGGTTCTACCTTGAGCTCCTGCGGCACCATCGAACCGAATGCGGGCGGATGGTTCGGAGCGGAGAGGGACGGCGTACCTGAGCGACGGACGACAGCGGGAAGGCGGCGGAGGCGCGGGGAGTGGAAGGAGAGAGGAGCAAGGGGAAATGGATCTTGGGAGGGAGAATGGTGCTGTGCTGGGCTGGACTGGACTGGGCCTCGGGTGTTAGCGGCAGGCCTGGTGGGTCTGACGTTTTGGTCCGTCCACACTGCTGCTTCAAAACAAATCGAAATATTCCTTGAAGTTAGGGCCTTTTTTTCTATATATATACTCCCTCCGTTTCTAAATACTTGTCTTTTTAGACATTTCAAATGACTACTACATACGGATGTATGTAGACATATTTTAGAGTGCAGATTCACTCATTTTGCTCCGTATGTAGTCACTTGTTGAAATGCCTAGAAAAACAAGTATTTAGGAACGGAGGGAGTATATATCAACTCAAAAAAAATTGGACTCTTTTTTTTTCAGACAGAAGTAACCACATGTTTATAAAACAAACTTGGTACTACAAATATTGCCAACAAAAAAACAATGGTACAGGATTCTCAAAAAAAAAAAACTTGGTACAAAGAGGGCACACGTGGGCACTCTTAGAGACAAACAATGATACATGCTAAATAAGAAGATTGCACAAAACACCCGAACACAAGAAGATTTGCATTACAGCCCTTGGAGATCCATGCACCCTTCCTAATCGGACTCCGTCGCCACCTGGAGTGGCATGACCTGACATCGCCAATTCGAACCCTAACGAGACGAAGAGGCCACATGCTTTGAAGCGTTGTCGATTGGAGCTCTTCTACAGGGCCAAATTATTCTAACATGGTGTCGATCCCGCCACCGATGTGATGCCTCCACGAATACAAAGCCCCATGTTATTTACTTGATGTAGCCCCTTCCCCTGTCGTCGCTCGAGATCAGGTTCATGAGTCTACGGACTACAAATGTGCGGCGGCGCAAGGCCCTATTGCCCCTTGGTGGTCATGAGACTCGTAGCTTGGAATTGCCGAGGAATGAGGCAAGGCCTCGACAATGAAAGAAGGGAAAATAATGGTGTTTCTTGCCAAGCTCATCCATTCCTTGCTTGCTCATGGGAGTGATGAGGGAACCCCGACGGGGATACGGGGTTGAGATGGCGATCTGGGTGACACATCGGTCATAGGAGTGCCAGTTGCAAGATCTGAGGCAAATAAAAAAAATTAAACTTGATATTTGTCATGTTAGCACGCAAATACTCCCTCTAAATGTATATACAAGGTTACGTTTTTTACTGTCAAATTTTGACTTATAATTTTGGTCAAGAAAACATGGTTTGCATGTCACAAAAAAAATATTATCACAAAGTTTTTCAAATGTGAATCAATGGCATACTTTTTTTGGCATATACTAATTTGTTGGTAAAATTAATGGTCAAAATTAAACGTAAAATTGTGAAGTTGCACTGTATTAGTAGACGAAGGGAGTAACGTTTTTATTCCATGTACCTTTAGTCCTTCATTTACTGAATCTTAAAAATATGGCTGATCAAATATGTCTCCCTCAACAATATCACCAATTTACTGACTAAACTAATGTCATTCACGTATTTACATGTGCAAAAACAGCATTCACTAACATCTACTCCTCCTAAATATTTGTCTTTTAGAAATTTCAACAAATGACTACATAAGGAGCAAAATGAATGGATCTATACTCTAAAATAAGTCTACATACATCCGTACGTTGTGTCCATTTGAAATGCCTAGAAAGATAAATATTTAAGAACGGAGGGAGTAGGAGTACTGGCTACAAAACTTATCACCTTCTAATTACATGTGGCATCCAGTCGTATATATAAAAACTAATGGAGACGGGAAGAAAATAAAGAGCGGTCTGTGTAATAAAGGAAAAAAAAGGAAAACAGAGAGCAAGCCAAGAGTTCAAGAACGTCGTGTCCGGTCGTGTCCGCTCGCCTGATCGCCCCACGCCGGCCTGACCAGCGCCAGGGGCGTCACCTCGACGAGCGGCGTCGGCACGGGGCTGGGCAGAGGCGAGGTCCGGCAAACGGGGCACGTGGGCCGCCGCCGGAGCCAGGGGTCGACGCACCCGCGGTGGAACAGGTGGCCGCAGTCCGGCAGCACCCGGACCACGTCGCTGTCCACGTACCTCTCCAGGCATACGGCGCAGCAGCACGCCGCCTGCTCCTCCGGCTTCCTCGCCTCCCCGTAGACTACCGCCGGGCACGCCTCCAGAGGTAGACGGCGAGCGCGACGGTGGAGACGACGAGGGGGATGCCGACGGAGACGGCGAGGCCGCAGCCGAACCCGCTGGCGCCGCTCGACCAGAACAG